CATCATTCCCAAACTCTTCCCCACTCCTGAACCCCTTGTGATTTTCAAACCCCTCTCAAACTCCTCGTCATTCCCGAGCTCCTCATCATTCCCAAACCCCTCGTCATTCCCAAACTCTTCCCAAATCCCTCCTTATTTCCAAACTCTTCCCAAATCCCTCATTATTCCCAAACCCTTCCCAAACTCCTTGTCATTCCCAAACCCTTCAGAAAACCTTCCCCATTCCCAAACCCCTTGTCATTCCCAAACCCTTCCCCATTCCCAAACCCCTTCCAAACCCCTCATCATTCCCAAAACCTTCCCAAACTGCTCCTCATTCCGAAACCCCTCATTATTCCCAAATCCTTCCCAAATGCCTCATTATTCCCAAACCCCTTGTCATTCCCAAACTCTCTGTCATTCCCAAACCCTTCTACCACCCCAAATCCTTCTCCACTCCCAGATCCTTCTCTATCCCCAAACCTTTCCCCACCAAATCCTTCTCCATCCCCAAATTCCCTCACATTACCAATCCCTTTTCTAACATTAAATTCTTCTCAATCACTACATTCTTCTCCATAACCAATCCCTTCTTCACCCCAAAATCCTTCTCCATCACCAAACCTTTTTCTACCCCAAATCCTTCTCCACCCCCAAACCCTTCTACGTGATGAATCCCNGATCGAGGATGTTCACCACCAGGATGGAATTCCCAGCATGGAAAGGTGGGAACATCCCAGCAGAGAGCTCAGGGAAGGTTCAGCCTCCTTGGGTCTCCTCATCTCATCCCAAACTTCCAAACAACACAATTCACCAATTCCTGCTCCACTGGTTTGAGTTCCAGGTGTTTGAAGGAGCGGGGAGGAATCCAAGAGGGAGAAGGAAAAGATTTATGGATGCAGGGAAATGTGTGCCAGGAGCAACAACTGACAGCAGGAAATGGATATGGAAGAAAATATTCCTGCTTATCCTTTCAGAGGTGGATCCTCATCCACACCTCCCATGGAGGTTGGGAATTTTTGAAATTACCTTTTTAGAAGCTCAAAACTCATTTTAATTTCAGGTAAAATCATAGGGGATTGATCAAAAACCTGATTATTTCAAAAACTGACGGGAATGGTGTACGAAAAACATTGGGGAAATTGTGTTTCTTTGAGATGGCAGCTGGGCTCTTCTCCCAAAAAACAAAGAACAGGACAAGAGGGAACGGCCTCAAGTTGTGCCAGGGGATGCTCAGGTTGGATATTGGGAAAACTCCTTCAAGGAAAGGGCTGTCCTGGACAGGGGTGCAGGGCCCAGCCCTGTGGATGTGGCACTTGGGGACAGGGGCCAGCCATGCCCACACCTGCCACAGACATCTTTGCACTAAAAATCCTTTCTTGGGATTTCTTCCCTCCTGAGAAGCTGAGAGGCCTCAGGAACAAATGTAAACATTGATTATCTGCTGCTGTGGAATGCAACAGGTTCATCTGGGATTGGTCCATGTTGGATGTTTATAATTAAAGGCCAATCAAGGCCAAGTTATCTCAGACAGAGTCTCAGAGAGCTGCCTTTTGTTATCACTCCTTTCTATTCTATTCTTAGCTAGCTTTCTGAGAGGAAACCTTTCCTTCTATTCTTTTTAGTTAGTTATGATGTAATATATATATATATCATAAAATAATAAATCAAGCCTTCTGAACATGGAGTCAACACTCTCGTCTCCTCCCTCACCTGCAGACCCCTGTGAGCCCTGTCACACACACGCACCTGGTGACCACGTGGTAGTAGTAGATCTTTCCCTCAGGATCCCGGGCTGTTTTCCAGTTGGGAGGGAGGACGATGGTTTTGGGTTTGGGAGGGGAAGGCGGCGGCAGATCCAGGAGGTTGTTGGTGACCACCAGCTCTGGCTGCAGACAGCACGGAAGGGAGGAAGTTAAAGTGGTGAGGGCTCACAAAAGGTGCCCTGGCAGCTCTTTATCCCACAGGAAAACCCTCCCCATCCCTCTGGATGCTCACCTGCTGGATGGGCTGGGGCTGCCCGGCCGCCACGATGGTGGTGACGGCCGTGGGCGGCTGCACGATGACTCCCTGGGGGTGAGCTGTGTAGATCTGCTGGCCCTGGATGTACTGCAGACCTGGCTGGGCGTAGCTCTGCAACAGGGAATCACACTCAGCTGCTGTTCCCAAAAAACCTTCACTGCAGGAGCGCAGATTCCACCAGACCGGGTGCTCCAAGTCCCATCCAACCTGGCCTTGGACACCTCCAGGGATCCAGGGGCAGCCACAGCTGCTCTGGGAATTCCATCCCAGCCCCTTCTCACCCTCACAGCCAGGAATTCCTTCCCAACATTATCCTCAGATTTTTGTAATATCATTAATTCTGGTGGCTCCAACTCTGCTTCTAAAAGTCAGTGGAAGCTCAGCTCCCACATCCATGTTTTATTCAGCTTTTATCCACAATCTCCATTCAGTCAAAAAACCAAAATACTCCTGCAAGCTGCAAATTCCTGATTGGGCCCAACAAC